TTTACCCTTCTTATTATAGGAAAGGCCTCTAATTTATTCTTATTGGCTCTTGGTTTTAGATTAATAACAATTAGCACATTAAGGAAAGGTTCATTTATTCTTGTGTTTTCTAGTTTTTTATATTTTTAGTAGAAATGGGTATTATATTTTGTCAAAAGCTTTTTTCCCTATATCTATTGATATACTCATATTATTTTTGTTATCATTAATAACATGACCAATTTTATTGATAATTTTCTTAAAATTTAACCAACCATACATTTATGGTATAAAACCAGCCTGGTCATAGTATGTAATCTTTTTAATTATGTGATTCTATCTTCTTAGTAATATTTAATTTATTTATTTATCTATTTATTTATTTATTTATTTAGATTATTAGAATTGTCTACCTCTGAAGGGAATATATTAAGGTCTTCTACTATTAAGAGTTTCACTATTTTCCCCTTTAACTCATTTATCTTTTCTTTTAAATATTTATATACTAAGCCATTTGTCAATGATTATTTATTACGTACCTACTATATTTCAGTTAGCATACCAAGCTCTGAGTATACAGAGAACAGTAAAAGATAGCCTCTACTCTCAAGGAATTCACTATCTAATAAAGGAGATAGCTTGTAAACAACTATGTACAAACAAAATGTGTATATGTGTGTAAGATATAATAAATTGGAGATAGTCAATAAATAAAGCTTCAGTAACTTAAAAAACTTTTTTGGAAGTATCCTCAAAGAGTTCTCAGACTGTGCATATCTTTTGACCCAGCTTCATCACTACTAGGCTCATGTTCCAGTGAAATCAAAGGAGGAAGAACACGAACACACACACACGGTGATTTCCTGTCAGGGAGTGGGTAAACAAATCATGGTACATGAATGTGATAAAATATTATTGTGCCATAAGAAATGATGAAATGGACAATTTTGTTTCATTTATTTATTTTTTGTGAGGCAATTGGGGTTAAGTAATTTGCCCAGAGTCACACAGCTAATAAGTGTCATGTATCTGAGGCCAAATTTGAACTCAGGTCCTCCTGACTCCAGGGTCGGTGCTCTATCCACTGTACCACCTAGCTGCCCCTGACATAGGCAATTTTAGAAGAAACTGTGGGAAAACCTCTTTGAAATGATGCAGAGTAAAGTGACCAGAACCAGGAGAACAATTTATACAATGGCATCTACAATATAGAGAAAAATAATTTTGAAAAACTTTAGATTCTAATCAATGCAATGATAAACCTGAATTCAGAAGACTGAAGATGAAACATACTATTTACCTCCTGCCAGAAGAGTGATGGACTTAAAATACAGAGACAGACACACATTTTCAGGCATGGCCAAGGAATTTGTTTTGCTAGACTGTGTGTGTTTTTGATTAGAGTTTTATTTTTCATTCTCTTTTTAAACTTTGCTCATCTTGTTGGGGGGGATAAGAGGTACAGATAAGTGCTCATATAAATATATAAATTTGTTAAAATAATGGCAACTAGAAATAAAAATTTCTTGAATTTCCTTGAAAGAGAAATGAGGTTAAATTTTTACAGAAAGTTTGACTTTCAAGATTGGGTTTTGAGGTTTAAATATTCTATTATAACTAAGTTACACACATATCTGTATGTGTCTATTTACATATACATATATGTATATATACATACACTCTGTGTGTGTGTGTGTGTGTGTGTGTGTGTGTACCTTCACTTTTCAATGAAACAGAAGAATTGGTTGAAAGGGCTAGGGACATTTAGCCTAGAAAAGAGGAGAGGAGGAGACTTGGGAATATAGAATAGTTGTCTTCCAGTATTTTAGGGGCGATCATGTGGAAAAGAGATTGTCCCTATAGAACAGAACTGGAAGCAATGGGAGGAAATTATAGAGAAACAGATTTTGACTCAATTTGAGAATAGTAATTATAGTTATCTGAGAAAGAAAGGCACTCGGGAGACACTGAGGTTCCCATTACTAGGGATCTTCTACCAGAGGCTGAGTGACCACTTGTAAGTGATGTTACATATTTCAAGCATGGGTTGTTCTAGATGACCTCTGAAATTCAATGATCATCTGGAAAAACATTTGTTACAATGAAAGGAAGTAATAAGAGTATAATTTTGTGCTTTTGACTTTTGTAGGCTCATAGTTTTATTCTTGAAATTATTGTAACTATATCTGTTATGTACCTAAATTCTTCAAAGAAATTATGTTTTACTAAATGTTTTACAAATAATTATATGTCTATTCCCTTAAGTATAGCCATTATATGAAAATCTGTGTTTTTAAAACAAGTAAATTAGGGAGCAGTGAATTGCTTTATGGAAGTATTCACCTTAGTATTCTTTTACATGGCAGCTTCCCCTTGGAACATATAAACTAGTCATAAGCCAATTTTTACAAAATACAATCCAGCTGTTCACGAATATTGCAAAAAGCAAGGTACATATTTATGGTTAATCACAACCAGGAAGAGAAATATGTGCATATGTAAATATAAGTTACAGGGATACGATGATGGGAGGTCCATCTGGTTAAGAACTATATTTCCTGTGAGAACCCAAGTCCCAAGAGTTGGACCAGATGGCAAGAGTCTAAGCCTCTGAATTCCCTTAGATCACTGTACTGATAGCAAAGAGATAACATAGTAAGAAAATGAGATGGGAGGTAGGACATTAGATAAAAGAAAAGAAAATGAAATCATATGGGGTGGTGAGCAAGAGAGGAGTCAGCAAAGACCTCAGATTCATAGAGCTGACAAGAATCAGAGTTGAAAACTAACTCAGGGGTTCTTAACCTAGGGGTCTATGGATACATTTCAAGGAGGAGCCTGTGAACTTATTTTTTTTAATATATTGAGAAGTGTTTTAATTTAATTGATTTCCTTTGTTATCCTCTGCATTTTATTTTATTCACTTAAAGCATATATACTTGAGGCTGTATATCGTTGTTAAATGGCATATTTGTGTCACTATAGTGCCCAGTGGATCCAAGACAAAAAAAAAAAGGATTAACCCTTGGACTAAATTAACAGCAAAGCAGGCTGTTTGCAGGCAGTAATCTGGTAGATGGAAACTTCCATTTCATGCTTTACTGATGAATATTGTCAAGAAGAGATTTCTACTGAGGTGCAGATAGATTGTGATCTACAATGACTGAGGGAATGTTCAGATGGAGTAAATGATGGACCTATTGAAATGTTATGTTATCCTACAGAATTTTTTGTCTGGGAAATGGACCTTAGAGATCCAACACCCTCATTTCATAGTCAAGGAAATTTAGAAGTAGGGAAGGGAGGTTTCTTGTTAAAGTCACCCAGGTAGCAGTAGCAGAACTATTCAGCCCCTCTGACTCTGAATTGAAGGCTTTTCCTAATTCTAGATGACCTCTAAGGTACCTTCCAGCTCTGAAACACTATGGTTCTATGATATCTCAGGAACATAGGTTACTAGTGCTAGTTGATTCCATAAATGGGTACCTCCTACAAAAATAATACCATATATTTGTGTACAGCACTCTTAGGATCAAAACAGCCATTCAACATCCCATTAGGCATATGGGACAGGTAGCTTTAACCTGACTTTACAAAACAAACTGGCCCCTAGATGTTAAGTGATTTGCCTAATGTTATACACAGCAAACTAGCAGCAAGAATCGAGATCTTATGTTTTTCTGTTTCAGCATCCTGACTCAGCAATGGACTGATCTTAGGGAATAATAAATAGTATAGGAATGCCATCTCCTTTTAATGGAAATTAAATAATAATTTATTTTAATTTTTTTAAATAAAAATCAGTTTAACATATCTTTCCTCTTGAACACATCTTCCATCCATTAACAGTGCATTTCTACAGTACTACTTTATTTATTCTTTTCAGTAGTAGAAATATCAAGCGTTATTTTTGGTTAAGGGCATGGGAAGTTCTAAATACATCCCCTTCTAATAAGCTCCAAAGTCTCTTGTTGAGAATGAGAAATGATTCAGTAAGATGAGAGGTTCCAGTTTTATAGTGGTAGCTGAGCCTAAAATTAAACTCTACAGGGGGAGAGAGTCTATATTGATTCTCTGCATTTAATTAAATATGCAGAGTATTTGCAGCACATGCAGTATATTCAGTGACATACACACACACAATGACTGGAACTACCTTTTATAGTACCCTAATTAGCTTAATAGTGCCTTTTAAAATTGAGGCACATCCACTCTTAAGTTTCTCACATATGGCACCTAGTTGCTGTTACCACCCCTATTCTGATCTTGTATTTCTTTTTCAGGGTTTGAGTTTAGAGTTACAGCCCTCACTGATTTGAGTATAACTGTGCAGAGATCAAATTTACTACCTTGATATAATTCCACATTCTAATTCCAACTGGAAACGGACATCATGCCTAGATAGTCCCTGTAGTCTGGTGATGGGGTTTCATGTATGTTTCCTATTAAAAGTGAATTTCTTTTCATAAAGATACATTAAGAATATGACCTAAAACCCTCTGGAAAGTCTGAGAATACAGAGTTATAAATGTTATTTTTCCACTTCATTGTCTACAGGGAACTTGACAAAAATCTCATAACACATTTAAAACACACCTGATGCCATATTGAGAAAGCTAATTGCCAAATTACCTGGTGATGAAGATGGTCTTACTAGCCTTAAAGTGCATATTAGGAATAAATACTCATATAGTTTCCCTTTCCACTTGTAATAAGAGGCTAAGGACCACAGAAAGCTATAAAAGAGAAGGTGCAAAAAATACACAATAACCTCTTTTAATGAAACTGTTTAATCAGATCACAGTTTGAATGGTTGAAATCAGTACTAACTCGAAGTAAGATGGATTTACTCATTGAAGTACCAAAAAGACCTCAATATGTAAGGCATGTTGACCAGGACAACAGGCTCTTGATGACATTAAGGTGAAGTGTTAGTATATAAAGTATAAAGTATATAAAGGACTTTTTGATGGAAGAATTTAGATTTAATTCTTACCTCTCCCATACCTTTCTTATTTCAGGCAACAAGAGAAGCCCTTACTCAGCACTGTGTTTGCCTTGGAAATTCTCTGGGCAAAGAAAATGACATTGCCTTGATCATTGATGGCCACACACTGAAGTATGCCCTCTCATTTGAAGTCAGGCAGATCTTCCTGGATTTGGCCCTTTCGTGTAAAGCAGTCATCTGTTGCAGGTAGGAGGATGTTCAGTATTTACCCACTTTGTGTTGATGTATCAAAGTGACTTTTTGTTCATGTTAAGATAACAGAGGTAAAGTTTCTCTTCTAAATGCAAAGCGATCCCATACAATCCACAAGGTCCAAATGTATCTTTTTAGTTGTTAAGTTAACATTTTCAGGAGCCAGTATATCATTGTTAAATAGTAGATTTGTGTCTACTAGCATGATGGACTTAAATTAAAATCCTCCATATAGTATGACATTATAGCTCCAATCATGTGCTGATAGTGGAGAACAAAACAGAGAAGGGTCTGATTACCATTAGTGGGGGAGCTTCCCATATGTTCTGTCTATTAAATCTTCTAATTCTGAAGTCTGGGCAAGCGCCCAACTCCCAGAAGTGTGGTGTTTGTTTATTTATGTGTCTCTTGTCATAGGTCAGTTTCTCTCTCAAGCTCTGTGGTTGAGTATTCCTTTCAGACAACAAGGAGCTTTGGTCTGGTTTTTATTATGTGTATTTTTCTGTTGGGATCTAATCAGTAGAGGTATGGACAGTCTGTGTATATTTCTTCATGTTAATCTTTCAGGGTTAATAAAGGTGGGTGGCATCACATTCTGTTGATAACTGGATGTTATGAGAAGAAAGCAAAGCTGTTTGCAATGAAGGGGAAATTAGATGAAAAATTAGATGAGAGGAAATGAATTTATAATAAGCCAGCAAAGGGGACTCCATCAGCAATAAAATGAATGAATGAATAAATATAAATAAATAAGGTGAAAAGGGTTTGCCTCTCAAGGTGAAGATTTAAGTGCACAAGTTATCAAACCATCCTAGCAACGTAGATTCGTGAAAATATTATGACCATATTTGGAACTCATCTGATGATTATTCTTAATAGTGTACACAGTTATCTTGTCTGCTGTGGACCCAAAACTCTTCTTCATCAACGCTAGGCTGGCCTAACATGGCATATACTTGATGTCACCACTGTCCAATGGCCCTGTGATGCTTTTATTACTAATCTTATTCATGCCTATGTCAGACCATTGCATGACTATCTACTTCTTCTTGTTCCTCCGTCATTCTTCCAGAACTCTGGGTCATATGTTCCTAAAACACCTAAAAGGCACCTTGTCACCAGCAAAATATCTTCAGAATAACCTAGCATGCTCCAACCTTGTTTTAAAAATATGCAAAAGAAGGTGAAAAAGCAATTCAGCAAAACTAACCAGTACATCAATCATGTCTATTATGTGGAATATGTAATATTCTATTCCTGTAGCATCCCACCTCTGGAAAAACACTGAGGGATATGTGTTTTTCAGCTCTTTTTTGAAACCAAGTTTGGTTATAATCATGACATTTAATTTCCTCTTTTTCCTTTCTGTGATATTATTGTTGTTTGTATTGTTTTCTTGATTCTGCTTATGCTACTTTGCATCAGTTGATATATCTTCCCCTGCTTTTCTGAAGTCTTATGTTGTTAGTACTTTATTTATGGTGCAGCAACGATCTATTACATTCATAATACACTTTGTTTAGCTATTTCACATTCAGTGACCCATCTGCTATGTTTCCTATTACTTGCTATCACAAAAGGTATGCCGCGAACGAATATGTTGTTCTATATGGGACTTCTCGTTCTGTCTTTAACTTCTTTAATCAATTTGCCTAACCTTTGGGGGCCCCTCCAACTCTAACTGTTTCCATCTTTTGTCATTTTGGTCTATTTGCTGATAGTGAGGTAAATTCTTAGACCTGTATTAATTTGCATTTTCCTCAGTGATTTGGAAAAAAACTTTCCTATGATTAATAGTGTGCATTTTTTCTCTTGAAAGCTAATTGCTCATATTCTTTGAGGATTTAAACATTGGGGAATGATCATTGCTATTTTGGGGAAAGCACTAACTTTGCAGTCAGGAGACTCCAGGGTTTGAATCCTATCTCTGATATTTACTGGCTTTGCGAAAACGGGTAAGTGGCTTAACCTTTCTGAGTTTGTTTCAGCATTTATTAAATGGAAATAATAATAATAATACCTATATAATTCATCTCACAAGACTTTTGTAAAGAAGCATTTTGTAAGCCTTAACACACTATTTAAATGTGAGTAGTTGCATCATTATTATCATTATTGCTTTTAATTAGTTGTCCTGGCACCACTTTGTCTCATCTCCAGGCTATATCCCAAATAGTCTTTCTAATGCATACTTTATCACACCATTAGTCTGCTCAGAAATCTTCAGTAGGGCTCCCCTGCCTACTCAGTAAAATCCCAACTTTAATGTTGGCATTCAAGACTCTCGACAATTTGGCTGCAGCCTGACTTTCATACAAATTTCTTCCATGTGCTACTAGAATCTTAGATATACTTTTAGGTTTCTCTGCCCTCTCTAATCTGTACTTTTGTACACAAGTTTACTGTGTCTGAAAGGAAGCAACTTTACCTATTTAAATATTATCCTTCAAGGCCCATTTCAGGTTCCACTTCCTCCATGACACCTCAGTTGATTATCTTCCTCCTTTCAACTAGTAATTACCCATTCACCCTTAAATCTCTTGTCATACTCCAATAGTCGATATTCACTTATTCATAGGCATTGCCTTAAAAGAACCCTCAATGAACATCACACAGAAGGGTCATGGAAAGACACATGGTCACTATGAGCAGGCTACAACAAATAATCCCGAGAAGCTCTGAAGAACAGGGGTAAAACACATCAGTAAGAAATTGTGTGACAGAAAGAAACAATGGATAGATCATAGGCAAGAGCAAGGGATAGCTAGTGTACATCCAGAGTGTTCCAGGAGAGTCATTGCAGTGTTCAGAGGCCTCGAGCATGTTCCTGTGGGGAACTTTTGGGGAAGAGCATGGACAGAAGTTGCTTAAGAAGTACCAGCATGGATGGGTTAATGAAAAATTCTAGAATGTAGGCTACCTGTGAGGAGAGATTGTCTAATTTATTGTATTTGTATCCTGAGCACCAGCGTAGTGCCTAGTACATTATAGACATTTAATAAATGCTTGTGGACTTGAAGGAATTCCAGAACACATACACACATACACATACACACACACACACAAACACACACACACAAACACACATGCACACAGAGTAATATATACATATTTTAAAATGTAATACATAATATATAGTATATATAAGATTACTACAACATATAATAAGCATAATCCATATATTATATTATTGGAATATATACTATATAATACTTAAATTACAAATATTGTAATACACAATGAAGTGCCTAACAGGAAATGTGACTTGTCAGCAGAGTAAGGTATGGCAACTCTACTGAGCTTCAGAGGGGCCCAGACTCCATTTAGCTGGTACTTTTTAAGTCCTGATGTGACTGAGCTGCTAAGGGAGGCAGGAGTCAATCAAGTCCCATGGACACTTTGTATTACCTTTTAGAGAAAACTAATCCTTTATTGCAAGGAAATGGGAAACCTTTGTCCTATTACACCTCCACCACAAGATATTGTAACTTGGCCCAGTATACCCTATTTCTCTAAACCTATAAGGGCTCTTCTCATTTGCCCCAAACTCTAGATAAGAATTGATGGATTCCACCTGTGTTCAGTGGCGAGTTAGCTATCTTTAAGAACTTAAAATTAGTGGTGTGGAAGAGAGTTTCAGATTGTTTTGTTTGTTGCCCCAGGACAGAGACTGAAGCAATGGTGGAAGTGACCTAGAGATGAATTTTGGTTTGGCTCCTGAAAAAAAAAAAGATCTTCCTAACAATTAAATCTGTTTAAAAGTGAAATGTGCTAACTGGGGAGGTAGTGGATTCCCCTGCCCTGGAAATGTTCAAGCAAAAGCCACATAAGCACTTACCAGGTATCTTGTAAGTTCAGGTGTGTCCAGTTCTTTCATGGGGTGAACTGAAGGGCTAGGGAGGTGCCTTCCCACTCTAAAACAATGCTATTTTGTTACTAAATGATCTCGAAGATCCTGTCTCAGGCAGACATCCTGATTCTCTGTTTAAGGAAGAGACCTTAGCCCTGGTTTGAGTGAATAGTAAGAATGGGAGAGATAGGAAGTGTGGAAGGAGTTTGGGGGAGGACTTCTCCCTTACAACCTTCTCTTTGTATTTGTGTTGTAAAGTAACTGAGTAAGCATATGCCTGATTGTGTGACTGGCTCATTGATTTCCAACTAAATAAATATGACACTACAAACTGTTGGTGCTTCTCCCTGAGGCCAGAAGGGATCGGAAGTGAGCCAGTTCCTTTCCAGATGCCCCTTATGGTTAAGTAACCATTTCTTTTAATTATTGGGGGAGGAGAGGAGGCAAGGAGGAAAGGAACAAGAAACAATGTACATGGAAAAGTACGGAAAATTGTAAAGCCAAGCCAAAAAAAAAGTGATGTAACTTCATAGGTTTACAAAGGGAAATAAAAATAAGTAGGTTTGGGTCTCAGGAGAGAGTGAGGAATGCCTTTAAGGCTTTACAAGAACGGTCCCTTTTCTTGCCAGGTGCATGATACTAAAGAAAGAAAAACATTTTTTAAAAATTCCTTCCTACTCTAGACTGTTTTAACAGTACTTTGTGTGTCACGTAAGACTGTACACTTCAAAACTTCACAGGAAGGAGCTCAAGCTCTAATTTGGCACAGCTAGGGGAAATTTCAAATTAAATATGTTGCAGTCTTCAAACAGAAACATTAATTGAGGAGGGGAATCTGGTTCTTTGGGGGTTTTGTTTTCTTTCATTTCTTTAAACATGATGGTGCACCACTTGACTCTCCAGGAAGGCCTTTTTTTTTTTAAGGTATTCTCAGAGTCCTAGAACTCTACATGAGTATAGGATGAACCTTTTAAACACATGTATTTACCACTCAGTCATACTTTTAAAAATATTTAAATTCTGTTTATTTCCTTAGCCTCAGAAATTGCAGGCAAAATCTCAGCAGTGATCTTTCAAAAGGTAGTTGTAATAAATTGTACCAGTTTGTGAAACAAGAGAGGGAACTGGTTCCTTCTGGAGGAGA